CCGTAAACCTTTAAGCCAAAAAAGGCCCACACAATGCATCCAAAAGCCGGGCCAAACCAACGACCAAATTTTCGGATTTTATATCCCAATAACACGTATCAATAACCGTATCGCAAAATTATTCAAATTTAAGACAATCCAGCCTACAAAAATATAATATTTCGAGCCTTACTCTCGAACATTACACATACCTAAACACAACATCCTCCAAATTAGGAAATGATTTCCCATTAAATTCTAAAATAATCCAAGAATTCAATCCCCAAATCGCCAATTTAAACCAATAATTAGGCCAACATATTCCAACCCATCAAAAATAACCCAGAAATCGAGACCGTATCCACAAAAACACAATTTCACAACTTCATCACTCTTTGCAAAATATTTAATATAATTTTCGTTTTAAACAAACAAATAAATATCCCGATTCTTTATCCAAAAGGTACAACCATTTCGTTTAAAAACCGGACTATGTTTTTTTTTCGAAATATCCCAAAAACAATTACACTCCAAACCATTTCCGAAATATGCCATATCACAAAACATATAAACGACCAAACTAATCGTAACAAAATCATACCAAAGAATCAATAAAAATATTACAAATACAAAAACAAATATAATCGATCAAACAACATTTTAAATACAAACAAAAAACACAATCAATAATCGATCATAATTCATAACTTCTCATATTACAAAATTCTCGAAGAATAATACAAAAGAGCAACATATCAAATATAATTTATTAAATCATATATTTTATTTATTCAAATTATATATTAATTTCAAATAAATATAACACATATTAAATATAATTAATGTTTATTTTAGAAAATAAAACATAATAATTCATTCTATTTTATATTTAATAATTTTGTATATTAAAATTTCAAATAATATATTTAACTAATATTTTTTATATATATATATATTCAAAGAAATATATTTAAACTATTAATATTAATATTTCCAATAAACATTCAATAAATTTTCTAAATTATCGTATCGACGTAACGAATATCCTATTACGAAATACAGGCTTAAACATATTTCAAGCAATAATATGCGCCCCATAGGGCCCATGCATTTACCACAAGGTGGATAACATAGAACAGATTGCAGGGAAGGGTCTAAAATCTCCGCCTAATTCGACGCGATCAACAGATTTACGCTGCTGTTTGTGGTTCCAAGCAAGGATGTGGCCCAGCACGTGCTTGGTAAGCAGCAGATTAAGCAAGCACCTACCCTCTTGGTGGTATGACCTCTGGCCAGCCTGGGTTAGCGAAATCAGGCTTGCCAAAAAAAACACCCAGTCACGATAAGACTCACAGCGAATGGCCGACTGGTTGAGGCGATGCCACCGCCGCTGCACCTCAGCGCGGCTAAAGGCGTCACAAACATACTGATGGAAGAGCAGACGACAGCTGCCGCTGAAGCCAGGACTACGGCGCATAAGGCGGAAGGAGTAAAGCTCAATAGCCGCCAGCTGCCGGTTGCAAGGCGTGTAAAAGTTCCCAGCGATGTTCATAAGGAAACAGGAATGCGTAGGGCAATGGGTCGACGTGTCCCGTGCATTTGTTGACTCGATGCTGCGGGCGGTCGTGAGGCCAAACCGCAATGTCCCTATTTGTCGGGGAGACATGCCTCAGCAGCGCGAGCCAGCAGCACGTCCCGTCAAAACAAGCAGTTGCAAGAAAATTCACATGCACACTAGTGGCTGCGTCGGTATCGACAGTGGCCTTCATGTGCTGAAAGCAGCGAGGGAGACGCGCCAAGTCAGGGAATAGACGCAGCAGTGGCAGAGTCCAGGAAGTAGAGCTGCGCGTACTGCGCTGCATCTAGCGAGTTGGCGAAGAGGCGGCCAGCAACGTGGCTAAGAATCACGGGTGGCTCATGTTCATGGACAGGCTGAAAGCAACTTAGGCCAAAAGGCAGAAAAAACAACACTGCCGCGTTGGCGTTATAGAGCCGGACTGCATCGCAAAATCGACGACGGCAGGATGCTGCCTTGTGAAGAGCTGCCAGCTCTGGAGCCTTTGTGGCAGCCGATGCTGCAGGCACCTGATGCGCAAGTATCCTCGGTGGCAAAGTTGAGGGTGCCACAGTGGCGGCAGTGCAGCTGTCCTGGGTCACAGCGCGTGGTCCAAGACATCGGCGTCGCTCATCACGACTTGCGGCAAGCAGCAGGCGGATTGCCGTTCAGCCGCTGCCGGATAGCTGGCAACTAACCCTCGCCGGCACCGCTGCCGCAGGCCGCTTTGTGGAACCATGGAAACATGCCAGGTGCTGCAACTACGACCGCCTGAGAGACAATGGCAAGAATCGAACCTCCAGACTTGCAAGGGCTTGGAAAAACTGGTGGCCGAGAACAGTCAAAAGACGTCAGGTCCAAGCTCCAGTCGAATAAAGCTGGGCTTCACTTCGGCAATGCCAGTTGAGCCAAGTTTGGTCGAAGCAGGAATGTGCAAACTTCACTCGACTCGGTTCCTCGGGAAAAGAACGTAGTCAACCTGGCCCCAGTTGATTCGAGTTTTGGCCTCGGCAGCAAAGACTTGCTTAGTGGAGGAATGCCGAAGGACAGAAGCGCGAAAGAGGAAACAAAGTGGACAGAAGCAGCTTTGCGCAAAGGTGCAGGATAAGGTACCAACACATCATGTATTTTTTACTAGCAAACAACTAATTATTGCTTACATATATATATATATATACACATGTATTAAGAATGTAAGTTTCAATGTAATCAACAATAAGTGTGTATCATGGATTCCTTCTTTTTTTTTCCCAGGGACCATGTTTCGACTATGAATAATGACTAACAATAATGATAGATAATAACCATCACAACTGCTACCACCACCAACACCAACAACAACAAATATCAGCACCGACCACAGCAACGGCTGCTGCAAAAGCGAGGACGCCGACAACAAGACAACCTCCAAGTATAGCCAAATGCCAGATAAACACCATATTTTCTCCTCAAATCTCTCCATCGTCCCATTCCAGCGTGATTCTTCGCACTGCAAATGGGCTGGTGTTGCTATTTGCGCCCATGGCTCGTGGCGCATATCCTTCAGTACCTCAGCCAAAGGCTCAGCGCGCCACATTGCATGCCCTGAGTTGCACATGAACCCTCCGTGCTAAGGCAAGTGCGTTGGCATGAAGGACTTGGGCGGTATGCAGGCAGTGACACCGGATTCAGTGGGGCGGAGGGCAGCTGATCCCAGAGACCCACGGCGAAATCATCCATGTCGCGCTCCGGGCCCTGCGGAAAATCATTAAACTCCACCAACACCGGCAGTGCCGGATACGGTTGCGCTGGCTGCACATCCCTTTCAGCAAACTGTGAGCCCAGGATGGGATCCTGCTCGGGTGGCTGAGGTGGCTCTTGCTCTGACACACCCTGCGTACCGCCTTCATCTCTGGGCTGTCCTCTTTCAACTCGCCTCCTCTCGTCCCGGGGTAATGCCAACCGCTCTATGAGACTTGCAAGCTTCGGTGTCACCGGACCTGGGTTGGGCCTCAAGTCAGCAAGCTCCAGAACATCTTCTGCATCTGTAGCTGGATGAGTACTCTGAACAGGCAGGTTTACTTGCTCGGGTCTGAGCATCTGGTCTGGAGTTTGTGGGGGCTCGCTTCTTTGCACTGGCTGCTCATCCGGCGGCCTCTCGCGGTGCACCGGCTCGTGGTGCACCGCTTGGGAGGCTTCTGCTTCCGCCCAGAAAAGTTGCCACAGCAATCCCTCAGCTTCCTGCTCCGCGTCATTGATCAGATCCACAGGAGGCTCAGGCTGCTGCCGGCTGTTGTCCTTGAAACTGGTCATGAGATCAGCCATGCGTGCAGCCTGCCGCCTCTTTAGCCCGAGCTTGTGCAGCTGTTCCCGGCAAGCATGTGCTTCTGACTGCAGCTGCTGCTGGCTCTCCCATACCTGCAACAACTCGGCGTGCACCTTCTCCGCTGCCTGCTGCTCACTGCCCCTTGAAGAGTCCAAAAGCTTGGCCCAGGCAGCCTTGCTCTTTTGGCCGATGGCTGCCGACAAGTCACAGCTCCGCTCCTTGCTCTTCAAAGCCCTGCTCTTCAGGGCCTTCATCCTGCTGGTCAACTGCCGGGCCTCCTGTAGCATCACCATCCAGCGCTTGTTGCAGGCAGCCTCTGCTCGCTGCAGCTCGGCGATGGCCCTCTCAGCTCTCAACAAGGCGCCCAGAACTTCGATGGACTCGTGTCGAGTCAAAGCTTCCCGGCAACTCACCTCCGCACGCCAGTGCTTCAGCATGCTCAGAGTCGCCGAAGGTTCCACAGAGTCAACCCTTGGAGCGCCTGGCCGGCATGCGAAGCCCTGAAAGTCTGCCAGCCGCCGCCGCAAACTTGCAGCAACGGCTCTTTGGCCCAGGTCTGGCAGCGCTGTCTGCATGTTCGGCCTGTCAGGAAAAAGATCGCCAGCTGATTGCATCGCCCGAGGAATCTTGGACTTGGACAAAGCATCTGCCTCTTGCAGAAGGCTAACCAGCTGACTCCCAACTGGAACCGCGCCAATTGCGACAGAGTTGTCATTCTTTGGCATTGGCTTGTCGGTACGCAGTAGTAAATTGGCATGCAAACCCTCCAGCTGTTCTACCGTTCTCGCTAGCGCAGGAACCACCACATCCAACACTTTCTTCGAGGCCTTCTCGGTAGCGGTCTGGGCTTTCATTTCGGCCCGAGCAAGCTTGAGAGCTCAAGCAGCACAAGAAAATTCGCGCGATTTGACAATCACCCGCGGTCTCGCATGTGAACAGGACAACCCGCTTCTCTTTGAAGACAAATGCCTGTCATGTGGCATGAGCAGATGCTAGCCTGGCGCAGTGTCTTTTTGCCATGTGGCCACGAGTCAGTCCAGCGTGCCATCGAGCCTGCGGCATGCACAAGCATGGGTCTCGCACACATGTCATGTGCGCATGGAGGCCAAGGCTGACATGCGCCCAAGTGGGTTGCTGCCAAGTTCACCTTTACGCTCCTTTTTAACTTGCAAAGTCGAAAGCGGCCACCACCGGCAAATGGTCCGACCTTCGGCTTGGCTTTGTAAGGGCTACTGTCGAAATGCAAGCTCCCCGGAATCTAGGCTGTGCTCGGATCCCACGCTAAAAGTTCAACTGTTGGCGGGTGAGATAGAACTCTGCCACTACTTTTAGTGGGTTAAATGGAACTCCCCCACTAAACACTAAACAACTAAACAGCTTCTGGGCAGAAAGTGCCGCCGGGGATCGGATGCCAGGAATTCGGCAGCACCTCCCAGGGCTCTGCGAAGATCCGCAGCTTCTGCGCCTCGCGCAGAGGAAGAAAGCCAATGGGGCCAGACACCTGCCCAAAAAGAAACAAAGGAAGGAAGGAAGGAAGGAAGGAAGGAAGGAAGGAAGGAAGGAAGGAAGGAAGGAAGGAAGGAAGGAAGGAAGAACGAAGCAAGCAAGCAAGCAAGCAAGAAAGCAAGTAAGAAAGAAACAAACAATCAAACAAACAACCAAACAGGCAAAGAGGCAAACGGCTGTGAAGTTAGGGAAGGCTCGGTCTGCCCGCCTTTGTGAGAGGCTCCTGCACCTTGTCTGACGCAGTCTCTGGAGCAGTGTTGGCACTCTAAAGTGCAGACTCCGCTGGTAGCATCCTTGAAGAATGCTCCGTCACTTCTCCCGCTACTGGAGATTCTTTCCAACAGCTAAGCTCCACGCCCCAGTGAGCCTCCCAAAGAGTACTGCTTATGAGTAATGAAAAGCTTGACCAAACGTGCCTCAGCGTTGAGGACGTGAAGTATATGTAGTCAAAGCGCAGCTGGCAAGGGCCCTGTTGGGGCTTGCACAGGCCTGGCAGCTATGCGTGAGCCATACGTCAGGGAAGCCACCGAGGAACCAAGAAGAGGGGAAGGGAAGCAGAAAGCAAGAGAGCAAGAGAGGACGCGAGGAAGCAAGGAAGAGGGGAAGAGAGGAAAACAGGTGGGTGAAGGGCACATCGGTGGTAAACAGCTGGCTGAACACGTTGAACACAAAACGTGGAAATGGCTGCCTGCGAAGCAGCCAAAACAAAGGCTCTTGTTTAATACACACTCTGCTCTGGCGCCCGTGGTGACGATTCAGCAAAAGTGTTGTACAGCTTGGCTGGCAACACAGGAAACTGAGGAAATGGCCAACGTGCATACAAACACAAACCCCCCATCCCCAGAAACAGCTCTAGGAACCAATTTTTGGAAGGACTTTGAACGTGTTGCCGGGGTAGGGAGGCCCAACTTCCCCTAGTTGACGCCCCTCCCTGGAAAACGAAGACTTAACACACACACACACACACACACACACTCGCCAACACGCACGAAACACACAAGGACACGAAACAAGGTCACGGCGTTGCTAATGACCACGCTGCTTTTGACCATGGCGACCAAGCACGTTTACCAAAATTCCTGCGTTTTATGAATATTTCGCTGCATCGTTGACACGCACCATGTTTTTTGTTCAATTCTTACCATGGCTTTGACAAGAAAGGGCCAAATTGCCTGAGAATAGCAGCACTTCGCGCTGCTGGCCAACACACGCGCGTTTCTTGAGGCTGCCGGCCTCTTTTTTTTTCAAGGCAACTTCTCAAAGCTCGCGAGCGAGCCGCCTTCATCTGTTTCCAAATCATACATGGCCGGAGACGTGTCCTCGATCAGGCGGGCGCGCGAGAGCGTCAGCCAGGCAGCACGAAGACGCGGCAGTGCAGCAGGTAACCGACACCAGGACAAAGGGCTTCGAGCAGATATCGCGCCAACAGATGCCGCAAAATGCGCGAAAGGATCAGACGAACTACCAGCGAAAACTTCAAAGTGAGCGTCCAACAAGAACGGATCACACGTCCAAAACGCCTGGAACCACGAGTCAACAATGGGGCAGGGTGCACACGCGACACGCAGCAGCAGAACGTACGCAACACAAAGAGCGAGAACAAAATGATGACCCATGGTCCTGGAGCCAAAGGTTGGGCCAGTGAATGCCTCAGGGGTGAAAAACGCATCTGCAGCAGTTGAGCGGGTGTGCTTATCATGCCCCCCCCCAACCCCCCCCCCCCCCCCAGAGAACCATGTTATTTTGTAATCCGGTAAAAGAGCAGGCTGGTCTGCAGCAGTTGAGCGGGTGTGCTTATCATACCCCCCCACCCACCCCCCCTCCCCCCCCTCCCCCCCCGCCCACCCATCCCCCCCGAACCATGATGCATGAACGCAGGGATGAACGTCCAAAAAACAAAGAACTCCACGGGGTCGTTAAGGACGCCGTGAGCCGAAACAAGCACAAACACAAACACACGCGCCCACACACACACACACACACACACATATATATATATATACACATACACATGTGTAAATAGTATGAATTTTAGGTAACATACATATATACATGCATACGGCATGCAAATAGAAACGCAAACGCAAACACACACACACACACACACACACACACACACACACACACACACACACACACACACACACACACACACACACACACACACACACACACACACACACACACACACACACACACACACACACACACACACACACACACACACACACACACACACACACACACACACACACACACACACACACACACACACACACACACACACACACACACACACACACACACACACACACACACACACACACACACACACACACACACACACACACACACACACACACACACACACACACACACACACACACACACACACACACACACACACACACACACACACACACACACACACACACACACACACACACACACACACACACACACACACACACACACACACACACACACACACACACACACACACACACACACACACACACACACACACACACACACACACACACACACACACACACACACACACACACACACACACACACACACACACACACACACACACACACACACACACACACACACACCCGCGCACCCGCGCACCCGCGCACCCGTGCACTCGCGCACCCGCTCACCCGCTCACCCGCACACCCGCACTCCCGCACTCCCGCACACCCGCACACCCGCAACCCCGCCCGCAGGCACGCAGGCACGCACGCACGCAAGAACGCACGCACACACGAACGAACGAACGCACGTACCCACGCACGCAAACGCAAAACACGTCCGTTTTCCCACACACGCGCATGCGTTTGAGTCGCGCACCTGATCCCAAAAGCTCTCGGAGATCGTGCTCCACGCCCCAGAACCTTAGTGAGGAGCACTGCTTTAGGTGTCCTTTTTGGGAAAATGGATGGTAGTTGATTGAACCAGGCAAACCAGGGCCCTCTATTTCTCCACCAAATGAACCAAAAAGGACACCTGTGAGCACTGCCCGCACGCAGCCAGCGAAAGAGGCCCAGACTTGCCCTCTGCCAGCTCTGCTGCATAAAGCGCCTCAAGGAAACGAGACAAGGCTTGTTCCCTCCCTGCAACACCTGAAGGGGATTGACTCTACTTGGGTATAGCTCACACTAAAACAGCTGGGGTTGCGCAGGTAGTCTACCTTTTCCATTTGCCAGGGTTCCATTCTTTGGACCCCCTATTTTGCAGCTACAGCCACTTGCCAGTGGCACCTGAAACCTGCCGACTGCGGCCTGAAAGTCCTCCCGGCTCAAGCGTCGCTCGCCCTTGCCTTCGACCGCTGCCTGGCCGCCGTGCCGTTCCGGCCATTCGCCGCCAAAAACGCCGTGCCCGAGATTCGCCGAGCCTCCACAAATCGGTGTTCGCTTCCTCGACCCAGCTCCCGGTTGATTTTCAGGAGGAACCGATCGATGTCCTGCAGCTCTCTTCTTTCAGAAGTGCCTCCGTGCTTCATGCAACCAGAGAGCTGAAATCCTGTCCTCGCTATTCATGAAATCGCGGCCGTTCGAGCAGCTCATGAATGCATTATCTACTGCCTCAAGCAAGGCCGGAGTTGGAGTGCCATCCTGAGCTCGTCTTCTTCACTCCCCCGATTTCTGCATCTTCACCTAAACTTGGTAAGCCTCCAGCTTCATAGAGCATCAAGTCGTCTACCTTCTGAGCAATGATTGTAGCCTTGGAAAGCCCCAAATCATGAGCAAACCTTTTGGCATGCCTGAACCCAAAGCGAGCAGCAGGAGCTCTGCCGGCAAACGCCACGTCCAAAGCATCTTGGAACTCGCCGAGCTTCTGCTGTCTCGTTTTGGATGTGACCTGCGTTCAGCCAATGCGACGTCACCAGCTTCAAGTTGGCCTTTCCCGTCAAAGCTAGCTGGCTTCTCGGCACGTATTCTACACTGCTCCTCAAGCAAACTCAATCCAACAGACCGCCCTGGCAGCCTGTCGACCCTCTTGACCTTTCTCAGTAGGGTCGCCGGACTCGCGAAAGTCCGCATTGACCACACCTGAAAGAACGCATTGCAGCTGTCTGCAGAACACAAGCAGACATTGCAGACCATCAACTCAGATGCCTTTCAAGAGAAGCTCTCGCACAGCAGAGTTGCCCTGCGAGTTGAAGTCGCCGCACACCAGGACCTGTCTCAAAATTCCTTGAGACATCCTCCAATCACGCGTTGAGGGTTCTCCCCTCTCTACATCAAGTAAATATGCGGTTCGAAGCCAAGGCTCCTACCGCCGAGTCCTCCAACTGCAGCTTCTTCGCCTCCTGTCTCGCGCGAACCATCCACGGACAGGACGCGAGTGATGGGGCGCCCACGCCCCCCTCACTGGCCACCCGTGGCGCAACATCCTTGCTGACGGCGTCCAGGGCTTCTTGCACCTGCAGAGGGAGAAAAAAAACAGGGACAAAAAAAGGCATGAAACATGATCTGCCCAGAGCTCAAGTGCCTGCCGCAGCCTCCTGTCAGCATTTGGGCCCGCGGATAGGTGGACGTTGACAACAAAGACCTGATACGTCAAGGCATGCTGGCTAGGCCATGATGCCCGCGCACTGATTTTTTTCTGAAGCCCTCAGCGTTTGAAGACCCACAAAGTGCTTTCCGCTCGGAAACTCCTGCTGCGTGCGGTGCGGCCAAGCTGCTGTTTTGCCAGCATTCTGCCCGCCAAGCTTGCGCAAAGTCACAACGAGAGTTCGGTCCTGCGGGATTCCGGCTCTGACCTACAGAACTCCAAGGCTGAAGTCTGGTTAACGCGAGCACGATCTTTAGAGGCATCTATTCCACCTCAGGGCAGGGTCCGTAGAGTGGCCTGACACGGGCTCCTTGTGCTGCACGCTAACCTTCTCCCACTCGCTGCTGCGCCAGAAAGTGGCCGGGCGCATGCGGCCTTTCTTGTCGTGGAGAACGGCCTCCCAGGAGCCGACGGCGCAGCTCAGGCGCCCGGCTTGGCGCGAGGCGCACGCGGCTGGCCTCGTAGCCGGCGGCCGGCAAGAAGGCAAAGTCCGAGCTGAAGGACGGCTCGGACACCTGCGGGCCACTCAAGTGAACGAAGGCATCCTTTCATAAAAACTCCTGCATAGCTCTTCGCAACATGCTGGTGAAACATATTGAGGCGAAAGCAATTCTGGGAAGCTCTAGGGGATTTCTCCTACTCACTCCACTGCTGCTTGTCAAATGTCCAACATGCACCAATGAAGTTCTGTCGCAAACGCATTTGCAGCATGTGGTCACGCGGGTGAACCGGGCCTCTTGAAGGCAAAGAACATCGGGCTGGCAATGCAAGATCTGCTTCTCCAGAAGCGCCTGGCAACAGAATCCGCCGGCGCCAGCCGGGCGGATTCGCGCGTGGATGGCAATCCGCATCTCGCTCTTCCTTTGGATGTTTTCGTTTAAAGCCGAAGGCTTTTGGGGAGACCATAATTTGGCGGGTGTCGAAAACCATTATTAGGTCTGTCTTGGCGGTATGACTTTAGTTGTTGCTCTTGCAAATGCTAATGGTTTTTTGGCTGTTTGGAGCGATGTTGGATTTGGCTTGTTTGGGGTCTTGTCGATGGGCAAGAAGCTGTTGAACATTGAAACATGTGTGTGTGTGTGTGGGTGTGTGTGTGTGTGGGTGTGTGTGTTTTGCGAAATCCCCACTTGTGCAGGGCTGTCTCTGCGAAACATCCCCAACCTAGTCTATATTTCGGGTATTTGAAGCGGGCTGTCATCCCTTTTTGATGTTTGATTTTGGAGAAGGAGAAACACTGGCTTATTGCATGCTGCATCCCCGGCACTTCCCCGCACCTCCGCCCCTAATACTTGGCCACTGTTGTGCGCCCGGACCGCCAGCGGATCGCGTAGTGATTCCAACTTGGATAAGTTATGAGGGGCTTTGCTACACCTTTGTGGCAGTTGGATCCAAGCTATGTTAGAGGCCTATATGGCCATGGGTCAAAATCCAAATCGTACCCCCAGTGAACATCCCAATCCCCACTAAAGTAGGTTCTAAAATGGGTGGTGCACCTACCAATCAAAATGGTACCATTGGTGTTGATCCACAACCATAATTGTGATACAAGGCAAACTTAGTTCAGAACAAAAGTCTAGGCCGACTGCTGTCCTGGCGCGCAGGCCACGATGTGTGCGGGCCATTGTCGCGGTAGTACTTGTAGATCCACCACCCATCCTGAGCAAACCCAGAAAATAGTCCAAAGATCCAACGCGTAATAGTCCCCTCCAAAAGCTTGCCTGGCTGTTGGGGAGCAGGACGTTGTATGTCATGCACACCATGCCTAGGCAAGTACCGTTCCGCGTGCCATGGCGCTTGACAAAGTTGCACAAGATCACGAAGCCATTGGGGATAGCAGTTGGGCAGGGTATCAAAAAGCTTGTTTGGCAATCACACACTTGTTTATCAATCAAACGCTTTTTAGCAATCAAAACAAGTTTGCTCACTCAGGGCTACATTCTGTGACTAGCGTGGCATGGTGTATGTGCAAAGGAAGTTTAAAAGGAACTTCCGGAGTGGAAGTAATTGAGCTGGCTCTCTTTAGGCATGCATGCGCCGGCACATGATCATTCAAGCCTAGCACCTACTTTTAAAACTATGCCGCGCTGCGTGGTTCATGCAGTCGGGGACCGCGAGTTGCCCAAACTTCGCAGGACAAAGCTGCCTAAAGAGAAGCAGCGGGGGGGGGGGGGGGGGCAAGTTAGAAAACAAAAAAAAAACACCATTAGTGTGGGGGGTTGGATTGGTATATGGTCTGCTTAGTGGCTTGAATAAAGTTGGTTTAAGGTGGGCTTATTGTATGTATAGGGAATGCTTGTTTAGTGCGGGGTTGGGGCTTAGGGTGGTTTGAGAGTGGGTCGTAGGCTTGGTGTAGCTTTGGGAAATTGCTTGCCGATTTAGCGTGGGAATAGGGCAGGTTGCAGATTTCGAAGGCTTGTTTTGGCTTGGCTTAGGTGGGTTCTAGTGGGGTTTAGTGCTGGCTTAGGGTTTCTTTAGCGTGAATTTTTAGTGCGAAGCTGATCTATCCCGCAGTGAACATCAACCAACAACCACTACAATAGGTTCTAAAATGGGTGGTGCACCGAAAACCCCAAAATGGGATCCCATTGGCTTTGAACTATGGCATGGGAGCGAAAGGACAGGAACCTGGAAGGTCTGCCGAGAACCAAGGGGCAAGGGCCAGGGGGCCAAGGGACTGAAGGAGGACCCCACAAAACACGAACGGACCGGGGATGAAAAACTCAGAGATCAGGGCACCAAAGGACCAAGCCATGAGGGGACCAAGGGACCATGAGACCAAAGGGTCAAAAGGACCAAGGCACCACAAGACTACAAGCGATGCAGGGGAACTATCAACGTTTTGGCCAGCAATTGACGTCGCACCCGTGCTGAGGCCGTAGCCGGAGGATGATGCACGTGAATCTGCCGGCCACACCTTCGGAGTGCTTGCCTCGCCTGGCCATGTGCACTGCGAGACTCTGCTGGCGGTCCCTTCTGCGCACAGGAGAATCGAGACTTGCCCCTGCAACGAAGCGGGCCAGAAAGCTCTCGCTCCCCCCCCTTTCTCCCTATCTCCCTATCTCTCTCTCTCTCTGCCCAAACGCCACGTGCCCGGTTCAAACCACATGCAACATTAGGCCCGAGCGAGCCTTCTGCGTCCACAGCGATCGCTGGAACGGTAGCAGCCGGCACAGCAGCGCGCTGCACATCTGCGCTTATTCCCGGGCGACGCAGCAGAAAGCTCCTCGGGGCCATGGGTTGCGCATGGCCGATGGCCGCATCGTCTGTACTGGGGCTCACGCGGAGCAGGGGCAGCAGCCAAGAGGCCATAGCCACACACATCGGCCAAGTCAGCAGCCATTGCAATTCGATAGCATTGCAATCCTTGCAACCGCTGACAATCAAAGAGATTGTTTTGTTGACTCCGGATCTGCGTAGCTTGCTACCTTCAGAAACGTCCAAACTTGATCCATCTGCGAATTGGGAACGGTTGGCTTACTTTGGCCTTCGCCCCTGCAAAAATGGCCGACATTCATCACCAGCATTTGGCTGCGGCCGCGGCTGCGCAAACATGTCGCACGAAAGATTGCATCTCCCATGGCAAAGCCAGGAAAACACATCGGCATCCAAACCTGATTCCCATGGCTGTCAGCCAAAGCGGGGACCCCCCAAAAATGAGGCCTTAGTAGTCGTTATAGCTATTAACATTGGGGTGGTTGTATTGGGGAGGACAAGTCATGCCTGGCTCGGCAGCTATCCAGAGGCTCGGGAGCCAGATGTTCCATCTTCTCCAGACCCGTCGCCTTACCACTTCTCTTCAGCACGCGCCCGCTTTTTCTTTCAGCACGCTCCCTGAGGCTTCAGCGCCCAATTTGCCGTCCCTGGGATCTGGCCTAAAGCATCGGCACGCGAGCGAGTGAGGCGGAATCGGTGCTCAGCGTTTCTGAGCGGCGGGCGCTTCCCCGCGAGGACGCTGGCTTGTCTTGGCCTGCGGTGCGGCGTGCGGAGGCGGGCCGCCGCCCTCAAGTCATGCGGCCGTTGTCCACTCAGTTGCTAAGCTGCCAACCACCGCTGTACTTGTCCCAAGCATCCATGCAGTGACTTAGCCGAAACTATGCTTTCAGGATGCTTGGCCATTGTTACTTGCGCATAACGGACAAAGTCCCCCCTTTTTGCTTTTTGTTCTTTCTTTCTTTCTTTCTTCCTTTCTTTCCTTCCTTTCCTTCCCTGCCCTTCCTTCCCTTCCCGTCCCTTTCTTTTCTTCCTCCCTCCCTCCCTCCCTCCCTCCTTCCTTCCTTCCTTCCTTTCTGTCTGTCTGTCTTTCTTTCTTTTTCTTTCTTTCTTTCTTTCTTTCTTTCTTTCTTTCTTTCTTTCTCTCGCTCTCTCTCTCTCTCTCTCTTTCTTTCTTTCTTTCTTTCTTTCTTTCTTTCTTTCTTTCTTTCTTTCTTTCTTTCTTTCTTTCTTTCTTTCTTTCTTTCTTTCTTTCTTTCTTTCTTTCTTTCTTTCTTTCTTTCTCTCTCTCCCCCTCCCTCCCTCCCTCTCTAACCATCTTTCTCTACTCCTCTCTCCCTTCCCAAAACTGTTCTAATTTGTCTCTCCTCACAATCTTTGCTCACATGTCACCAGTTTCTCAAAAGCCAATGCCTGGTTCCACGAAACGCGCGCGGCGGCCCTCTCACAACTGAGTGCCGCGCTCGTACCCCAGCCCCAAGCCAACAAGAATGGCGGAGAGTGTCAACAGGATTGTGTTGAGCGACCTCGGCAAATCTCTTTGGTGCCAAATGAGGCGCACACCATGCCAGGACACCCATAGTGATCTGCTCCCATATTCACTCCGGCTGGCCTGACAGAACTCCTTGCCACTGCCGATAGAGCCACTAGACCCACCCAAGCGCCTCCCGGGACCACCTGGAATGGTGTCAATGGCAGCCTGCGAGCTGACAGCTTCCGGCCCTGCCAGGATGTCCTACCGCCAGGACGTCTCAAAAACAAACGGCACTGCGCCGACGGTCCTCGTTGACTTCCGGAGGTGGCGGCTCCGGCGGTGTGTGAGAACCAGGCTTCGCCTCTGCTGCTGCTCGAGCATCTGGCGCAGGGGCCGGCGATGGAGCTTGCCCGACCGCTTGCCTCAGCTCGCAATTTCCACCGCAGCCAAGGGGGACCGTGCCGCTGAGCCCCCGGGCGCAGGGGCCCCAGCATTCTCTTCAAAGGACGTGAGGCACTTTTGATGGTGCGCCCCGGCAAAGAAATGTTCACACACGGCGTCACTGAGGATCCGCGGCATTCCTGGCAAGCCTTGGCAGGGATCACGCGAACAGGCTGACAGCAACGCTAGTTCTTGGACAAGACGTAGTTGGCTGAGACCATCACACTTCTACGACGGCAAAGGCATGTGAACTCATGAAACGCGGTAAAGCGCGTTGCGATACAATCTGCCAGGGAACTGCTGCTGTTCATTTGATGCCTTTCCAACCTTTTCCTGTGCCCTACTGCAAGCTATGGAAAGCTAAAACAGCCCAGCTGATGAGCCAAGGACAAAGCAAATAAGCAGCAAGAAGCCAAGCAGCAAGCGCAAAGCTGCGAACATGAAATGGCCACACCTGTTCACGACTTTCTGGTGAGCGTAGGCTGCAAAGCAGTCAGTCTAACTGGGCTACAGCTTCAATTGTGGGCGCTTCGCTTCGCCGGCACTCTTTGTGAGCGGGCAAGTTCGAAGTTCGAGCCACAGGGCCGCTTAGCAAATGCTCGAACCCTGAACCTCACTTCAGGATTGCCGGCATCCTCTCTCTTTCTGCGCTTCTTTGAGGACCTGACAAGCAACGCATTTTGTCCGACAAGCTTCCGGCCAACGATTCTTTCTGGTTCACATGGCCATGGGTCAATATCCCAGCCCCCAGTGAACATCAACCAATCCCCACTAAAATCGGTTCTAAAATGGGTGGTGCACCTTCCCCCAAATGGTACCATTGGCTTGGACCCACAGCCACGTGTCTTGAACCCAAGCCTGCATGAGTTCCGGATTATGGGTGCTGGCCAAGTCGTGGCCTTTGCTTCTCGAAACCTGCGCGAAGCTTTCTTTGAAGGCCGTGCGGCTTTGCAATCCAATACGCTCTCAACTGACCTGGCCTCATATGCTGTCAAAGACCTGTGCCACAGAAAGCAGCCACTCGATGCTAAAGGCTTGTGCTTCATGGCCAAGGCACTGGTTGTTTTTGACATCGACTTCCGCGCCATTCCTCCCAGCAACCGCACATCTCTCAGTCCAACCTTCCAGTCAGCTGCGCCTGAGGAGGATCAGGGCGCATTCCAAGTGGCCCTCCAAGGCAGCTGCCTGAGCTTCGGCAAGTGGCTCTCGCTTGCGCGTTCGTGCGGTCGCTCACTGGGCGGCGTCTGGGTGTGGGACATGCAGAGGCGTGTTGCCGTCGGCATCCTCACAAGCGATTGGGGCGACACGCCGAGCCGAGGAAACTCTGACCTGCTTTATATAGCAATGTGGCAGATGCAAAATGTGTAAGGTCAGAAGTTGAGCTACGATGTGTCCGATGAAGTCATTGCGTGGTTGCGAGTTGGTGCGGAAAACGCCCAGCTTGGTTTTGACAAGGACTTCGGTGTATCTGCTGAGGCTGCCAAAAGCACAGACTACGAGGTTTGGGAGTGACGGCTTCCAGGGATGTGTTTTTTTGGCTGGTTTCCGCAGGGCTGGCAACATCCCCAGCATCACCGGCATCACTGCCGCCTATTGCTGGCTTATGATCTTCATGAGGGTTGATTTAGGCGAAGCGAAGGGCTGCTGTTGGGCGGTTAGGGTTGACTTTGAGTGGGTTTGGGTTGGTTTGGATCTGATTTGTGCTAGGTGTGCTACTGGTTTAGCAGCGGCTTGAGGGTTGCTTTAGGGTATGGTTTAGTGAGCTGTGGGCGAGTTTTGGTGGCTTGAAACCTCAACGAGACCAAAACTCACTTAACCACACGCCGCTGCTAAACCAGCAGCACACCTAACAACAAATAAGCTGCAAGCCAACCCAAACCCACTCAAAGTCAACCCTAAACCCGCCCAACAGCGGCTTGCCACCCTCATGAACATCTAAGCCAGCCAAAACCCCGCCCCCAGCAACTCCCCACTGCCGTGAAAGTAGAGCCAGTAGGCGGCCCCAGTGCCAGGTGAGGCTGGTGATGCCGGGGATGCGGCCAGCCAACCAACCAACCAACCAATCGACCAACCAACCAACCAACCCTAGTACAAAAACCAGCTCTAGGAAAAAAAAACTCCGGATCCGGAGTGTCCGATGAAGACATCATTGCGTGGTTACGAGTTGGTGCGGAAAACGCCTAGCTTGGTTTGACAAAGACTTCGGCGTTTTGACAAGAACTTCGGCGTAACTGCTGAGGCTGCCAACAGCACAGAATACGAGGTTTGGCTCTGCAACAAACACTCACAAACACGTCTTCCGTAGCTTTCCGTCCACACAGGATCACGTCTGCAAGGCTTCAATTGCGTCCCATGATTGAGGTGCAGTGTACTTTGTGCAAGTCAACACAAGCAAATCCTTCAAGGCATGGTTGTTAAGAAAGGCCACGGCTTTCAAGTTCAACTGTTCTGCCCTTTATAACTACGAGATAAGCAGGGTGGGGCAGCAGGCGCTGCAGCAAGTGATAGGAAAGGTATGGGTGCGTGCAGGTGGTCCTGCATATCCAGAATTTGCGGGGCCGCTTGGATGAAAAGCTGGGCAACCTGCAGCCGGTTGAGGCAAACCGGCGAAGATCGACCCCACCCTCCGCTTGCACTCGCCTCGCCCTGCCCAGATGCACACGCCTCGGACCCAAGATTGTCGGCAGCAACTGCCCACATGCACCAAGCGGCTCGCTTGTGGGATGCCGAGGCTGCAACAAGGTGAAGCCCCGTCTCGCCCCTGGATGTGGCAACCTGAGTTCTTTGGAGCTGCCGAGGCTGGAATTTCTGAAAGACTCAAAACATCCAGAGGCTGCTGCACAAAGCTCCATCCCTGCTTCCATCAGAAGTTGTACCTTGGCATGCCGGTGGCTACGCAGCCTCGATGCCTAATGTGGAGGCCCCGTACACATCTGATGCTTCCAGTGGAGCCTGCGGCAAACGCTTTCCAGCCGTCTCGAAGAACATTCGCACCGAGGCATCCGCATGCCAAGTGCATGGGAGCAAAGCCTCTCAGGTTCGGCGCCTGAGTTGCCGAACACCGCTGGTCATTGCGACTCGCGGTTTTAACTCGCGAGCGAGCGCGCCTCGAGGTGAGCGGATGCTGCCATCAGGTGCTCCAGGATCTGCCGTTTCACAGTATCCCGACCCACCTGCCGGGGGTTTTCTGACCACTCTGCGTCGTGAGGCTCTCGAGTTGTTTCCTGGAAACCTCGTGCGCACCTGGTCTTCAAAGAAGGACCGGGGTCAAGCGACCCTTTCTCAGAATGAAGAGCCCCTTTCTTGTTCTTTTTCTCCCCATCTCTTGGCAAGGAGCACAGCCATCGGCAAAACAGGCACCGGTTCAGTCAGCCTTCGCCAGGGCGAGGTGCACTGCCCTCAGCCGACACTGCCCCAGCCCCCGCCAGCGCGCCTTTACGACGGGAGGACTTGAGCCAGGCGCGCGTTGGCCTGGACATCCATCAAGTTGGGATCCGCGCCGAAGAGGCAGAGAACCTGCAGCCAGAGGGGGGAACAAATCCAAGAAATGTTGGGACCAGCGCTGCAATCCGCCTCCACCAACTCTGGAAGCTGGTTTTCAGCTGCAAAGTGGAGGGCCGATTTGCCAGCGAGCGTTTGGCAATCTATGTTCGCTCCTGGCGCGCCAGGCTATGCTGACGCCAAGGCGCGCGCAGGAAGCAAGCAAAACTCAACTTGTGCGCAATGCGCAAGCAGGCGAAAAAGTCCAAGCATGCCAGAGGCGGCCATTCTCCAAGAGGAGGTTGGCGATCCCTCGCCAATTGTTTTTTCTTAGGCAAACCTTGGTCAGGGAGAGTCATGGAGGCCACAAACGGCTTCATCCCACCAGATGAGTAATCTGATTTGTGCCCTGCGGGCCGATTTCTGAGGTAGCTGCGTAGTGGAGGGGCGCGGCCCCAATATAGTTCACCGAATTCGGATTCGCCTAGCATCGCACCAGGTGAAGCTGTGAAGCTGACATGAGCTAAGAGAGCTGACCATGTGCTCCAGCAGACAGGAGACGGTCGCAATCTCGTTTCTCGGAGCCTCTAGTGACGGTTGGAACGCCAAGGAAGACTTCGCGTCAGCTTCGGCGACACCGGCCTCCACGGCAACATGAAGAGGGGTGTTTCCCTCAATGTCCACCTCCTCCACAGATGCACCTGGCAAACTCTGCAAGCCACACGGATCTCTGAAACAGTCCGAGCGCCTCCGTTGACAATGGCATTCTCAATGCCAGCCCTGTCCCCCTGCAGTTTGCTCGAGTATCTCGAAGCGGCCCCAAGAAAAACATGCTCGCAACCCTGCACAATGCATGGGAAGGCAGCGGCCGTGCAAAGAGGCTCTGTTTGCGCAACAACAGCGCTCCGAAGATTCAGGCCCAACTGTGCAGGACGGCAAACGAGGAAAGATTGCACAGCCGCTGTCTGCGCCGCTTCGCAGCAGCTTGGGACTATTTCCTGCGGGCTGCACTTTGCACTTCCTCTGCCAATGCCGGCACCATTCAGATTAACGGGTCTTGTCGACACAAATTCAGATTGAAACTCGGTGCCAGTGCAGGCTCAGAGTTTGGAAAAGATGAAATCTGGTTCCGTCCAGCTGTTGGACGAAACCTGTCACCACAAGCCAGTTTGCTGCAGCGTCCTGGGTGGCAGGATTCAGAACCGAAAACCTGAACCGAAACGACGCCACACAAGGCTTCTCAGCCAAGTGGCTTCTGAGCGCCTTCGTACCTCGAGCCAACGTATTGCCATTCGCCCTCTCCGGGCTGTCAGCCAGCTTAAGCTCGCGGCGCGCCGAAGAAAATGAATCCACCAACCGTGATCCATGTTACGCGAGGGCCGATGCCTCTGAAAAGTCCTCCAGGGCCACACATGAAACCGAAAAACGGCTCTTCGAAACACTTGCCGCAAGTCCTTCAGGGATCCTTACATTATACACTTGAACATTGCCTTGTCCATGGGGGTTTCCCTTTATTTTGGTGGAAAAAACCATGTTCAAATGGGCAAAATGTATCTTTTAAGGAGCCGTGTCCTTGCACGCCCTCTTCGGCAAAAATTGTGGAGACTGCCTGGACTGTACCGCCGTACTTTCTGACAGCCTCAAGGAGATGCAAAACAATGCTTTACTCAGACGTAACGACAGGCCATCAGCGCGCCCCAGTATGGGCATGCAGCATCGTCGGTACACCAGTCAATGGCACTGAGGTCATCACTCCTTCTTCAACTTTTTCGAGCATTATTCGTGTTTTTGCCACATCCAGCGGCGTGGTCAATCCTGGCAGCATGTGCCATAACGTTTGGTCGCGCATGTGTGTGTGTGTGTGTGTGGTTTTTGCACACCATGGCTCAACCGTGCGCAAGTGTGAACACTTGGGATGTGCACCCGCGAGAAAGTAAACATCCCCAAAGGCAGACGGCCAAGACAGGACCCTTTGATCGGAATATCGCTGATCGCTCTGGCGCGAAAAACGGCATCTCGGCCGCCTCCAGCAATCCCACCAGCTGCTGATCCGCAGGCGGCACCTGCCGCCAGAAACCAATGCACTACCCAAAAAGGAGTGTCCTGAGGCAACAAAAACGGGCCGCTTCTTTGACCACGTAGGGATGCTCGAAATCAAGACGGTGACCAAACTGAGCCCGGGCTTTGAGAAGGAACGAGGGTGCAGCGTCAGGCCAGCTGCGCCCGGGCCTTGAATGGCAGAAGTTTCAGCGCCTTGACGCTCTGCCCAGATCTTCTTGAACCTGCGGGCATCATGGGAGACGCTTGCGCAGGCAAACAGCTTCGAGGCCTCTCGTACAAAGGGAACTGGATGAAGGAAAACGGAATTTCCCGCATCACCTCAAGGCAAACCCTTCCAATGCAGCTTGAACGCGCTCAATCGAAGCCGCGGGCCACCCCCGACTGAGCGTGCAACCATGGTCCCGTAGCCGACGTAAAACGCTCCCAATCCTCCAGTTTTGTGAATTGCAGCTACGGCCTCTGACATCCTCCTTGGCTTCAGTGCATCTTTGTGCATTTGATTTTATGCGAACTGCATCAAGCCCTCATATCGTGCAAAACCTGCTGCCCAGGCGCGCAAATCTGCCGACCTGCATGTTCTGCGTGACGTTCGCGGTTGGCACCTCAGCGTTGAATGCAAGCCCCGAACGACGCGCAATGTGGTTCCACAGTGTGCATTCGCATGTCGTTTGCTGCACGGCGTTTATGAATGCCCGTGTCTCCGTATCGGAGCCTGCGCGCGGGGCTGAACGGGTACTTGGACTTTATGGTCCCAGAAGGGAGCGCTCCAAGGTTACAATCAGGGTTGACTGGGAACGCCTCAGCCGCCCAAAGGCCAAGTCAGGCCGCGTTCCGGGTTGTGCACGCAATCTGCAGCGCGCAGCCCCGATGTCATTTTCCGATTAGTACGAACCTCCGACTTAATCAGCGGGGATTCGCTTTGTGCTAGTCTCTCTCTGTCTCTCTCTTTTGTGAGAGGGTCCTATTTTGAGCTTTGGCTATTTGTGCCGCTGCGGATCACGCTTGCATTGAACACAACTTAAGCCGTGCGTTTGGGGCAGAAATCCAGGTTCTCCTCGCAGAAATCCAGGCTTTTCCACCTTGGTGCTACTTTTGCTCAAACCTTCTGACGCCATTTTCTTGCGTCTCACCGAGCGGCCAATCAATTTCAAAGTCCAGTCCAAACACCCCCAGAGAATCGATTTACTGCTCGTGCATGCCCTATTCCTTAAACCGGTTCTCCGATTCTCCCCAACTTGATGAGCAGCAATTTTTTGGCATGTGTGCGCTTGCTTTGGCTGGTGCTTCTGGTGATAGTGGGGGATGGCGACCGACCAAAAGCAGATCAGCCAGCCAGCATTGTGAAAATTGTGTTGAGAAAATCTATAACAGATTGACACACCCACACACACACACAGCAAGGTAACACACACAGAAATGCACTCGTTCTATCTGCACGTTCGAGCAGGCAAGCGCGTTCCCTGCTAAACCGGCAGGAAGATCGGCAAACAAGAGTTGGCTGGGGGAGTGTTCATGGCAGTCCTTTGCGCATATGCGCGCAAAGAGCAACCAGTTGATTCCTTCCAGGCGTGCTTCAAAGATACACCTTGTGTGCCCAGTATGTACAAAAATGGCAGGCCCAATTGCAAGGCAAAGCACCCGCACCAGACATGCCATGACTTCTCCGCAAGCAGAAGCACCTGCATGTTGAGTCCAATGCTCCTGCAGGGTCACTCCAATGGCTTCGGATCCCAAGACAACCCGCTCGGGTTCACATGCCCAACCGCCTCGTCGCCAGACAAGCGTTTGGACACCTCAAGTGAATGCGAGCGACGGACCTGAAAAAAAATGCCGAGGTCCTTGCGGCCAAGGCACCGTCTTCATCGTCTCGTAAGTGGAGAAAAACATTGCTGCACCAGGGGCAGAGCCCATGGCTGCTGACAAAATGCCCTTGTAGGCGCCGCGGAAGCCACCTGTCGGGAGTGGCAGAGTCTGCTCGCGCGTGCGCGAGAAGACTGTAGGTCTGAATTTTGGACTGGCTGCTTTCTACCCATGCTGCAGGCTCTTTGTGTCGAAGCTGGGACGAAGCTGGCGCGAGGCGCGCCTGACGCCCAGAACCCCTTCTCAGACTGCAACCGGGTGCGGAAGGTGTCCAGGGGGTGCAGGGCACAATCCACGGTCGTGCCAGCAATGCCGCCCGAAATCAGCGCCTTGGCGACCGCAAATCGCACCGAAAACGAGCTCGAACCTAGCCGAAGCTGGACCAAGACTGTGCCTAGCGGCTAAAGTGAATGGAACCTCCGCCATCTCAAAAATGGAGGTTGAGGAGCAAGCTTGAGGCAAAACTGCTGCAGTGGCAACGACCAAGGGCAAAATGTCCCCCACCCCCGCTGTTCACCCCACAGACCATGCAAATGGCTGCCACGCCTTCCTGCACAGTGGAATGAGAACTAGACGGCTTGCTGAAGGAGGCCGTGGGGGTGGGGGAGCCACCGGTACCTAAGCCGCCGGGGCGAAAATGGAACATGGCGCAGGGCAATGGGCAGCCCACCGGCACGAAGCCCTGCTCAAGGCATACCTCCTGCAGCGCAGTGCTCCAGCTTGCGATTCCGCGGAGTCGGAATCCCTGCCTCTGGCGAAGGTGCTGGAGGCGGGGGCGGAGGACTTGGTTCCATGCAGCCTGGCAAAAGAGTTGCGGCTGGTCTCCCTAGTCTCTCAAAGGCCGGGCCGTTGAGGGGTCCGGGTTCGTCATTGGAACCCGGGGGCCTGCTCATGAGCCTTAGGCCGGGTATGTGTTTTCACGAACCATCCCGAAATGGCTGGGGTTCCTTTTGGTTTCAGGCGAGGTCCGATGCCATGTCCTTGAGTCTAGCAAAAACCCTCCAACATTCCAAGAACCCAAAGCAGCGCCTCGGCTCTGACGGCTCGCGCACTTGACAAGCTCATGTCATCTTGAGCACTGCAAGCGCTGCCGAAACAACAACCCTCAAGACTCCCCGAGCAAATCCGGCGTTGTCTGACTCCTTAACAGGGCATGTCTGCCGTTGCGAAAAAAGTCAAGGCCCAGAACTGGCGCATCTTTTCCTGTCCAGCCGTCTGTGCGCTCGTCAGGCTCGGTCAGCCTGGAGCAGACATGCTCTGATGAAGAACTTCTTCCACCTCATGCTATTGGCCTTGGGGTAGCCATACAGGCTTATCTCTGGCGGCTCTGGCACTCCAATTTTGTCAACACCACCCTCTCGTGTCTTGCGCCCTTGCGTGCAAAACACACCCAGAAAGGTTTCACCTTTCTGCGAACACATCCCGTCCCAAAAGCCCCTCATTCCGCGGGACCTTGCAGGAGCTCGGAAGAAAATTGCGAACACTCGCAGAAAGAGCCCGTGAGGCGCGGCCCAGCGCTTAGCACTGCACGACGCCGTCCCGAGAAGGATTAGGAGCAAACATGAAAACGTCTAATCGGATATCGAGCGCCTGCAGGTCTTCAGGAATGAGCGCCAGCAGCTTGGATATCATGTGTTCAGGCATTTGCTTCAGGTTGCTGTGGCAGCGGTGTGCGACATGATTCCGGAGATTGGCAGAAGTCGCTGGGCGATCAATCTTCAGCACTGTTGTTGGTGCAGAACTGCCAGCCGTTCCACTTCCATCCTGGCTGAACCCCACAGAATAATAGATGGAGTTGAACTCCTGGCGCGAACGCGCAGATGTTGACATCGGGAAAAACATCGGGATTAAGTTCTGGCACAATGCTACACCTCAAGCACATCATGCTAATGAACAGGAATAGGAAACTGCCCGCTTTGAGTAGCTGGAGGGAGCATGCTTTGCTTGGGTTGGCCCTTAGCCATGGCTCTCACAATGTCTTCAAGTTCAAAAGTCATTGAGATCTAAGTCCAAAGGCTGCCTATGCCGGCGACCTTCTTGCAGACAAACAACATATTTGCTTCATGCTCCTCCCCCTTCCCCCCCCAACAAGCATCAGAGGGTTGCACAGCAGGACAGCCCACAAATGAGCCAACAAGCCAAGGCTACCTGCGGGGCCGCAACTTGTGGCTTGGCTTACTTTGGCGATCTAACCTGCGGCAGAAAAGCTTTGTCAGGCAAGACCGCAGTGTACAAAGTTCATCGAAGAATGAAGCAAGCGTGGCACATGTAGCGCTTGGCTGTGGTTGGGCGACGTTTGTGTGAACAAAGCAAACTGATGTCCTCGCTGCCGAAGAGCACAGAGCTCTGAGAAAAGCCTGAGCTTGGCTCAGCAACATGCACGTCATCGCCCACATGCGACCCAAACACGCACTGCGTTCTGCTTCCAGGCAGCTAAACCAAATAGCACGCCCAGTTGGTTTCAAAACTCGGCCAAGCTCCTCAATGCAAATCGACGGCGCTTCCGCATGCAATGGCTCAAATTGGACACCGAGTCCTTCCAAGACATGGGCCCTGCCTTGTC